GTGTGAAGAGACGCTGCTCACACCCACAGCTGCCGCTCGAGCACCTCCACCTCCGCGGCCCTCGGCGCCTCCGCCTCCGCCCCCGCCCCCTCCGTGCCGCCGGTCGACTCGGCCGCGGGCGCGGATGCAGAGAAGGACGCCGCGCGCGCCTAAGCTCGGGCGATCTCCGGGCGATCTCCGGGCGATCTCCGGGCGATCTCGGGCGCGAGGAAAGGGCGCCGAGTCGGTCGAAGCGCGCGTGGTGCTGCGGGCGCTCGGCGGCGGCGCGGAGAGAGGGTCGACAAGGGTACCCACGATGCGGGAGAGGGTCTCGGCCTGCTGACAGACCCGCCGAGATCCGCCGAGATCCGCCGAGATCCGCCGAGATCCGCCGAGATCCGCCGAGATCCGCCGAGATCGTGCCTGCTTGATTGCTCCTCCGGTGGCGCCGTCGCGGCCAGTGGCCAAATCCTGCTCGAGCATCATGAGCTTGTACAGCGGCGTGTCCTCCGCGGCGGGCGGAGGGCGGCCTAGTCTCGGCCGATCTCGGCTGATCTCGGCCGATCTCGGCCTAGTCTCGGCCGATCTCGGCTGATCTCGGCTGATGCCCCGCGGCGGGGCGGAGTTGCGGACCTCCGATCGTCGGCAGCGGCGCGGGGGCGATCAGCAGCGACATGACGCTCTCCCGCACCTCGTCCGCGACCTGAGGTGTGAACGAGTCGAGGCGTGAGGGGCGGGAGGGGTGCGCAGAGCCCCGTCCTCTCCTCGTAGCTGCTGCGCGGCCTTGAGTGCCTCCTCCTTCCGCTTGTACGACAACGACGCGAGCCGCCGGTTCACCTGCACCAGGTAAGGTGAGGTGAGGTACACTTCTCCACACCACACAAGGTGGTGGGGCAAGGGCCAGGCAGCCCTCGCGACTCCACGTCTAGACGACAGGAGCCGCACGGCATTCAAAGGGGCGAGGTTCGGGGGGAGGAGAACCATTTAATCATTGATGAATCCGGCCGGCTCACCTGCACCATCTCCTTGGTCGAGAGCTCCTCGCCACGCGCGACGCGGCTCCGCGCCTCCTCCACCGCCTAGGCAATGTCTAGGACATGTCTAGGAGATGTCAGGGCGCGACGCGGCTCCGCGCCTCCTCCACCGCCTTGTTCTCGGCGACGAAGGCGCGCGTCGACGCGAACAGCGCTTCCTCCACGGTGTCGAGCGTCTGGAAGCGGATCCCCTCCCAGACCTCGTCGCCGCCTCCGCCCCCCAGCAGCACCTGGGACGGGCCGTTCTTGGCCGCAGACCTGTGGACAGAGGATTCGCTGTCGGCGGTCGGTGGGAGAAGAATGCTGCGACCTCTCCTCCGCCGCAGACTTGCGTGTCGGGTCGCGCCTAGCCACAGTAGAGACACGTCGACAAGAATGGGAGGTCGCGCACAGGCTCGGCCGCGGCTGCTGAGGCTGAAGCCGAAGACGCGGCGCCCGAAGGCCCCTTCCGCAGCCCTCCTCTCTACTCCCCGCTCCTCCCGGCTCCTCTCGGCTCCTCTCGGCACCGGAAGCGACCCTCCCGCAGCACGCCCCGCGCCTCGGCGAGCGCCTCGAGCCCAAAATCGTGCAGCAGCGGCGTGAAGAGGTCGGAGGAGCGATCGACGAGCAACACGGACACGTTCCGGCGCCCCGCCGCCGCCGCCTCGCCGCCCGCCCCTCCCGACGCCTCCCCTCCGGCTCCCGCGCGCGCTGCCGGCGTCGCCGCCACCAGAGCCACGCCGAGCGCCTTGGACAAACGTGCGTGCGCTCAGGCGGGTTTACGTGCGTGCGTGTGTGCGTGCGTGCGTGCGTGCGTGCGTGCGTGCGTGCGTGCGTGCGTGCGTGCGTGCGTGCGTGCGTGCGTGCGTGCGTGCGTGCGTGCGTGCGTGCGTGCGTGCGTGCGTGTGTGTGCGTGTGTGTGCGTGCAGGGAGAGGGAGGCGGGTAGGCAGGAGAGGGGAAGGGAGGGAGGCAGGCAGCTTTAGCAGCGGCGAGCGCCTTGGACACCGGGTGGTCACGCGCCCGGTACCGCACCTATGAGGATGAGTGTCGAGCTCGTGTGTGTGTGTGCGGCTCCAGCGTGACGTCCTCCTCTGCCCACCACCCCCAACCCTAAACGCGCCGGCGTCCACTAGCCGGCGGGCTGCTCTTCGCCTCGGTGTCCCTCTGGCACGGCCGCCATTTGGGGTGCCTGTGTCGCCTAGTTGCGCGGGCGTGCCCCTCTACCCCTCGTGTAGGCTCCCCCGCCACCGTCGTGTTGTGTTCTTGGTTTCTATCCGCCTTCTCTCTTATCACCGCACCGACGGAGTCGCGTCACCGAGCAAGGCACAGAGCTTGGCGAGCTGCTCGGCTGCATGAGACACGGCCGCCGCGCGCTCGCCGCCCGCCTCGTCTTCGCCCTGCAGCAGCCGCGCCTCGATGTTGTCTTCGTTGAGCGGGGGCGGAGGCCCGTACAGCCGGCGGAGCGCGGACGGCCGGTCGAGTGAGAACGCGCCGGCGTGCAGCGCCAGCGCCTCCACCGCGACGCCCTCGCGGAGCGAAGCGAGCGCACCGCCGGCGGAGAGGACTCGCAGCGTGCCCCGCAGCGGGCCCGGCAGCGCCGAGGAGACCAGGATGTGCCTCTTGCCTCCGTAGAGCCGCCGGCGCGTGGTCAGCTCCTGCTCGAGCGCAAAGACGCTCGACTCGGTCGGAGCGATGAGGTAGACGGCGGAGAGGTGGGCCGCCATCGCCGGCGGCGCGCGCTTCGCCTCGGGCGCGAGGATGTGCTCCACCAGCGTGATGTTGGCGTCCGCCATCACCTCAGAGAGCCGGCAGCAGCGGCTGACGACCCGCCGCATCGTGTCATCGAGCAGGAGGACGGTCAACTGGTCTTCGCCGGTGACGCCACGCAGCGCCGCGAGGATGGAGGCTTGGAGCGTCTGCCGGACATCGTTCTTCTGCGCCATGGAGCGCGAGCGCTCTTGGCAGGTGTGGTTTGCGGCCGGCGCCGATAGAGCAGAGAAGAATTTTGACACGGCGTTGTCCGTCCTCCTCCGGGAAAGGTAACTGAAAAGACTGAAAAAGAAAAAAGATAGGGATAGAAACAAGAACACAGCGCGCGGCCTGTGTGTGTGTGTGTGTGTGTGACTCTGCGCAAGTTGCGGATACACCCTGGTCCCCCAGGTGTGAACGTCACGTGTGAACAGTCTCAGTAGCCACTGTGAGTACAGCCGTAGTGTCTGTGAATAGTGAGGGGAGCGAGTAGATAGCCGAACGGGGGTTTTCCCCGACCTCCCCGAGGTCGGCCTGCGACCTCCGAGAGGTCTTGCGCCGCTAAGTTCCGCCGCATATGGCGTTGCCTTGGCTGCTCGCAGCCTTGGCGGCCGCGGTCGACCCGAATGGACCCACATTCGCACCGCCTCACCGCCCGTCCCGTCCAGCTTCGCAGTGCCTTGCTGATGAGCCAAGTCGCGCTCCTCATCTCGCTTGCCTTCAACCAGTGCAGCGTTTGTCCGACAAATACCAGACAAATGCGACTCGACCAGTTTTGCCCTCTGCCAGTGGCGCAGCCGCTCAAGAGCCCGACGGCAGTCGACTGGCCTCCAGTTCGAAACCCGACTCGCGCGCTGGCTCGCCAGAGCCCTCGCCTGAGCCCTCGCCTGAGCCATCGCCTGAGCCATCGCCTGAGCCATCGCCTGAGCCATCGCCTGAGCCATCGCCTGAGCCATCGCCTGAGCCATCGCCTGAGCCATCGCCCAGAGCCTCAGAGCCCCCACCTCTCCTTTTGGACCAGCCGCCTTGTGCTGCGCAGCAACCTTGTGACCGCGCAGCCAACACCACCACCGCCGCCAACTGGACTACCATCATCTCGTGGACGCCCCTCAACCAGGACACAGGGGGTCATGTGCCTGCGGGTGAGGACGCCGATGATCCCAAAGGATGCGAGGTCGTCCCTCGTGGCGGCCCTAACCTGTCGTCCTGCCAACACGCCCTCGATCTGTTCCGTCCCGAGACCGTCATCTCTTACGACAAGGTTCGTTCGCAGCTGCAACGTCACCAGAGCTGGAGGCCCCAACCACGTCGACTACGACTTTGTGCGCATCATCACCGACAGCGAACGTGGCTCCAAGTGCCTCCTTAACTACTT